TAAATATCACACGATAAATTCAGACATAAATTAAAACCCTCAGATACATTTAAGACAAATAATGGCAGCACTCTAAAAATATTCAATGATGTGCGCGGTCAAAAAGTACCCAGACTCCACCGCTGTGTGTTCTGTGTTCTGATGAGTGACACCAGACTTACCTTTTTATTCAGTCGTCGGTAACAACACAGCAGGTCGATTAAAAACAAACACCGTATGACTAAAAAAAAACAAAAACCTTTTGATAATTCCTTCATAGTTTCACCCTCCGCGGAGCCGCGTGTCTCAGAACCAGGAGTGGAAACACGACGTCACCGACGTTTGATTTTCTAATCAGAAGTTTTAACAAAAAAACTTTTACCAATTCAAAATCCCCTGAGCCACGTCGGAAGTGTCTGTAAAAATCCCTGCCGCAGCCGTCCTCCCTTTGTTCTTCCTGCTGCTCAGCTGCATGTCATGACGGGCAGTCGGACACTAGGTGGCGCTCTTGCTCCATGGAAATCATGCCGCTTTCCCAACTTGACCGCGCTGACGTCACGTCAGTCTGGAGCATCAAGGCCACTTCCACGCAGCTATTGGTCTGAAAATCACATGACTTGTCTCTCCCAGCATCCATAATCATGTTGCTGATATTTTTGCACCCCCCTCCCAAAGATGTCAGCATCCCACTGTCCTTACTCTGCCGGAGTTTGGAGCAGTGTGGAACACACCGTACGACCACCTCTGTGTTGCCAAATGCCCCAAAATGTCATGTCCGAATAACATAGCGCCCGGTAGTTTCCTGATGGATTCCTTGATGGGAGGATCATCTTCCTTCAGGGCCGAGGGCTACTCCAGAGACCCGGGGATGTACCTCCACACAGCTGCAGAGTACGGATACTCAGTGATGACAAACATGGGCAGGATTGGACCACACTCACTTTCCAAAAGAGAGGAGGCACCCGCGGCCGCGGCCCCGGCCCCGGCCCCGGCCCCGCTCCCAGGAGGGAAGGATGGGCCCTACCTGTCAGCCCAGCTGGCCACATGGACCCCAGGCTCCAAAGGCAGCAGCAGCAGCAGCAGGAGGGACCAGCAACCTGTTGCCCAGTGTTTACAACCAGGCTCATTTCCAGCGGGTAACGTCAAAGAGGAGGCGTTTTGTTGCCTCTATCAGGATGACAGCAATAAGGGGAAACAGACAACAGAGTCCAGCTCCTACATCCGGCTGGGGGACAATAGCTGCCGGCCTCAGCAAACGGCCGCCCCGGCCGGCGGCTGTTTCCAGGTGTACAGCGAAGGGAGGCCGCAGCAGGATGACCAGCAGTTCCCCTCCGGCTTCTCCCTGACCCACTTGGCCACATCTGTTGAATCTGTTGCAGCAGAGGCATCGACAGTGGGCTGCAGCGACACGCCGAGGGAGCGTCCACGGACACACGAGTGTCTCCGGGACCGGAAGGAGGAGAAGGCCAAGAGTGACAGCTGTTCAGAAAACTCGGACGGGGAATTGAAAGGTACAACTTTACCACCTCCACCCTCCACCCTCCACCCGCCTTCCCCGCTCCTGCCGAACACGCATGCACACACACACACACACACGTCCATGCAGACGAACACAAACAACAATGCAGACTGACGGACAGGATGTTGTGGAAAAGACTACAGACAGGGTTTCATTCTGTCAGTGCTGCCGTTGCGTGTTGTGTTGTGTAGACGGCCCTGACGTGCACGTACGTGGCTGTTTGTGTGTGTGTGTGTGTGTGTGTGTGTGTAATAACAGTGAACTCGGCTGCAGGAGTTGTGGAGCTTCTGCTCTGTCACACCGTTTAATTAATGAAGGAACATGAACTGGATACTTATCTGCTATCTCTCTCTCTCTCTCTCTCTCTCTCTCACTCACTAACACACACACACACTCACTAACACACACTTTCCTTCCTCTAACTCGCCCTCTCTCATGGATCATGTACATAGTCAGCCATTTTTATCAGCACTGTTTTGCGCCTATATATTTGAAAGCCAGCCAATATATATATACATATACAATATATATATTTAAAATAAATGTCTTTTTAACTGCTTATAACTGCTCTACGATGTACTCATCTACAGAAATATATAATAAATATAACCATACATACATCCACACATTTCCGCGTAAAAGCCACAGTAATTCTGGATCCACATTTTTAACGTATTTTTTTATTTATTTATAAAATATATATATATCTTGCTATTTTACTCGTACGATAATCGTAACTTGGCGATATATCTATACATATTTAGAAATCGTCTTGGAGCAGTAGGTACCATTTTAACCCTTGCTTTAACCGGCGACGCCGTTCCATTTCAACCACTCTGATATTTTTAATTCCACTAACAATTCACTAAAGCCGTCACTAAAGTGACGTTATTGCGGCATCTACGTCACTGCCTCGTCTTCTGCCTCGTTTCTTTTGTCGCCGCTGAAATCTGGTCGCTGTTTGTTGCGTTATTTATGGCTTTGGAAGCTGAAAGCCTGACGATGACCAACAAGATCATTTTAATTTCTTTTAATTAAATTACAAGAAGATTTAGACGAAGGCGATTTCAGAGAACTATGGTGTGTGTGTGTGTGTGTGTGTCATGTGTGTGTTCGCATGTGTGTGTGTGTCCTGATAGTCACATATCTCACATTTAAATGTTTTGAAAATGATTGAATGTGGACACACAGAGTGTTCTCATTACGGTAATTATTACAGTAGCCATCGTGGTGTGTGTGTGTGTGTGTGTGTGTGTGTAGGATGGTAGAGTGTAAAGGAGGCGTTGCTCCCCAGGGTCCACGCTCTAATCAGGGGAATTAAGTGCAGCAGTGTGATTCTCTGTGCCATCACACAGACGTGGTTCTTGTGTCTTTGTCTTCGTGTCTTCCGTCCCGTGTCTTCCTTTTGTCCCCGGCTCCTGTTCGTCTGCTGCAGAGACTCTTCTTCCTGCTGTTCCTGGGACAAACCTTCAGATGTTTTTTGTTTGTTTGTGTGTTTGCTGTGCACGTGTAATCAGAGTTAATGGGAGTCCGAGGTCCAGTGTGCACAAAGACGTGCCTTACACTCTACTGTGGTTTGATCTAACTATAGCCTGACGTCACGCAAACGCCGGCAGTTTGTAGCACAAGGTGGAATGTTGAGTCCTCGTCCAGGTACATTTGATTTTTATTTTTTATTTTTTATTTTTTTAAACTCTGATAGAGTTCCATCCTAGTTTTTCAGATGAAGGCGTGTTCACCGACTCCACTGTAGTGTAGCTTTGACTGAAACCGCCTGCGGTCGTGGTTTTCGACATTGACCATTGTTGTTTTTTCCTCTCTCTCTCCTCGAACAGATGATTTACCCGCCGACAAGACAACGGGAAGCTGGTTAAAAGCCAAGAGTGGCAGGAAGAAGCGGTGTCCCTACACAAAGCACCAGACACTGGAGCTGGAGAAGGAGTTTTTGTTCAACATGTATTTGTCTCGGGAGCGCCGCCTGGAGATCAGCCGGAGCATTAACCTGACCGACCGTCAGGTGAAGATTTGGTTCCAAAACAGACGCATGAAGCAGAAGAAGCTGCACAGAGAGAGTCGAGAGAAGGAGCTGTGTGCAATTTACAGCTACTGCTGAGGACACTGGACACACACACACTTATGAACTCACACACACACACACCAGACACACATCTTACACACACACACACACACCATTTATCTACATTATCTCCATCTGAGGCACACACACTCTTACACACACACACACACACCTCTACAGTAACAGTCGACATCCTGCAGACCTGAATTCCAGGTGAACACTCAGAGCAGCAGCAGCAACAGTGGAGGAAGAGGAGGAGGAGGAGGAGGAGGAGGAAGAGGACCCTGCTGTGTGCTATAACCTGGTCATAATTACACCACAACAACCAAATAAAAAGGAGGAGACCATCCCCAGCAGCCTATAAACTACAATGAAAACAGAATCACTCGTGCACCTCCCCGGTGCATCATCCCTCTGAGCCTGTCTGTGTGTGTGTCTGTGTGTGTCTGTGTGTGTGTGTGATGTGATGTTTGCGTGCACGTGCATGCAAAACCAAGCCACGTCCTGGCAAACGATTTCAAAACAATAACAAGGAAGAGTGAAGCCGAATTAATGAGAGATTTTTTTTTTTTTTTTTTACCAACTAACATCGTCCTTCCCCTGGTGTGGTGATAAAAATGAGAGGGGGAGTGAAAGAGCAAGAGAGGGAGAGAGAGAGAGAGAGGGGGAGACTGCGGATGGGAGAAGGAGCTCGTGGCAGTTTTAATAGAAGTGAGAGACCATAACGTTGATTTAAATATTATCCAGGTGACCACAGTAAGTCAAGGTCATAAAATTCTAATGTCAGGTTCGCCCTGGAAAGCGTTGGGGGAGGATTTTATGATCTGCAAATATAATGTGCTGCAGCAGTAAAGATGCGTTTAAAGGTGTGTGTGTGTGTGTGAGAGAGAGAGAGAGAGTGAGAGAGACTGTGTGTGAGTGTGAGGAGGAGGGCTAATCCACACTGTGGAGACCGCGAAGTGCGGGATCCAGCCGCGCTGCTAAATGGGCTACAAGAGGCGCAGCACTCAGCCTCCACCGCCTCCACCACCACCGGGAATATCGGAGCTCCAGCTGCAGCAGGAGGTGGATCAGGAGGAGGAGGAGGAAAAACAATGGAGAATAAAGGGACAGACGTGCAGCGGCTGCAGGAGCAAACAATAACAAGACGCAGCAGGGCGAACACGTGGATAACCGAGGTGATCCAGGAAGCCCGTCCAGGTAGGACTCCTCTCTGCTGCTCCAGTTTTTTTTTTTTTCTCCCTTCTTTTTTTTCTTTTTTTTAAGGGTTGCCCCATCCGTCAGAGCGCCGCGCCCGG